ACATCTCATGTACGCACACTACTTTCAACTTATCTAAAGAGTTACTAGGAAGGTAATGGTTGTGGGACCACAGCCGGCCCATGAGTAATGGCTTTTTGATATGTGGTAAGTGTCCCCAACAAATCGTGGTTGGAAATTCCGTGTTAAAATAAAAAAAATTCCGACAGAGATATGAGCTATTTGTGAATTTTTATCTTGTTTCTCGATAATTTGAGAAGGTGCTAGATGAGATGTTTAATGAACATCTCTTAAGTTAAAATAAGAACAAATGGCGTTGAAATAGTAAGGAAAAATAAAGGATTTCTTATTTTATAAGACAATGTCAAATAAATATAACATCAATGCTTAGATTTAAGAAAATTACAAATACGATCATACATTATTCAAATCAATCAGAACAACTAATAAGAAACACATTAGAAAAAGATCTAATATATAAATATAAGTTCAACAGTATGATACAACATCATGAAAATTCCTAAAGCGTATATAATAACTAATATAATGGTATTTATAAACAGTAGACGAATCATTTTTTTTTCTAGATGACTATATATTGTAATATTTTGGAATGAGTGTTAATGTATGAAGTGAAGTGTTATATATATAGATTGATAAATAGCCGCTAAAAAATCGCCGTTAAGTAGCCGTTGGAATTTTTTTTATTTTATAAAAACACAATATTGATATAATATTTGTTAATTATATCATTCATTAAAATTTAATTAATCATGCATATGAAATTAAAATATTTTTGGGTTACTTAGTTAACATTTTAGTGAACGTACATATATTTCTTTTACAAACTTGGCCATGGGATAAATAAGAGAATACAACACCAACTAAGCTTATGTAAGAAATTAAAAGCTAAAATAAACATATACCCAACAAATCGTCGTTAATAATAACATAGCTGATGAAGCGCATTGTCAGTCGTTAATAATAACATTTTGGCAGAAGGCTGATGAGATGGCGAAGTGTTACATTTTAGCATCTATGTTGAATGTTCTTCAACATCAGCATCAATCTATGACCAGTACGGAAGATATACTTCTCAATCTCAAGAATCTATTCGGACATCAGTTTAGGGCGGCTAGGCAGGAAGCCTTGTGTGCTCTGATGAACACGCGCATGGCCGAGGGCACACCCGTAAGGCAGTACGCTTTAAAGGTTATGGCGCAGCTCAATGAGCTTGAGGTTATGGGAGGTTTTATTGACGGGAAACCCAAGTTGATATTATGCTCCAGTCTCTGCCGAAGAGCTTTGATCAGTTCCGGTTGAACTACAACATGCACAAAATGCATATGGCTCTTTCAGAACTGTTGGCTAAGCTTCAGTCGGCAGAAGCCTTGTTCACTCAGAACTCTCAGGTGCTAGTCGACGAGTAGGCTGGACCTTCCAGGCCTCACAAAAGGCAGTGTTGATAATCAACCTGATTTGTTAGGATTAAGATGGAGATTTACAAGTATTATCTAAGTCTTATTGCTCAACTCACTTCATACACCCAACTTAACTCAACTTGGTACAATCTCGATGTCAAACCGAGTCTCAAAACGACTTCATGCATAGGCGTGAACTGACTTCGCATTAAAGACAAACAACCAACTTCTCGAAGGCTCTTCTTCAAAGATTATCCTCACAAACCTAGTTCTGAGGTGGCCGAAGCCCAAAGCAGGTGACAAAGCGCTCATACAATTGGACAACACATTATATTTGTAATCATTGTTGTCCTCCCATTGACCAGCAGACCGCTTCAAAAAGCTGCCCCTCATTAAATGCGATCCTATCTACCTCGTCTAAAAAGTCAAACGTTTACTACTATAAACGTTGTAGGGGGATCATTTTGACGCACGTTCAACACATATATGTAAACACAGGTCGGTGTATACACGAAACCGACTTCTTGTATTCAGCAAAAAACACAGAAATAATACAAAGTTTACATCTTTTATGCTTTAATTACGTTTTATTGCCATTAAATATCGTTGTTAAATTCTGTACAACAATAGTTTGGCGCTAGAAGGAGGGCCTCATAACTTATTTGAGGTTAATCTTTGATTTCCTGCACACAAGCCATATACCTCTCTTCGTGTTTACGCTTATTTCAATCAAACAAACAATTATCATGTCTAATTTTGAACGCCAAGAAAAAACTCCGAAAGCTGGACCCAGTCATGATCCTGCCCAATCTGTCAGACTCTGACAACACCTAATTACACAGCTCTGTTCCAAAATCCAGAATTTGTGAAAGGTTTTTCTACTTTAATGGCACAAACAATGCCGGGATCTTCTGTTCCCGCTCCAGGACGATCCACGATACCTGTTGTTTCGACAAGACAGCCGACGTCGCCAATACAGAGATTTTATGCGCATGCAACCACATCAAACGCAACTTCACAACCACATAACTACCACAATAAGAAGAAGGGGTTGCTGCTCAAGCTCATGGCGATCCTCCTGTTGTTAACAATCAACTACTAGCAAATCTACTAGCAAATCTGCAATTCCACGATCGATGTCACCACTGCCGAAAAGATTCACCGACCTGCGGCAGACAATAGAGAGGAATCGCTTTTGGCATGAGTCGGTGGAACTGGAAATTTCTATGGAAAAAAAGTTGCCGAATTAGAAACTCGGCAGAAAATCAAGAAGATTCTCCACGAAGAGCTTTCAAGTCTGGTCAAGTTTATCTGGAAGCAAACTCACCTTTAACACCCGAGCTTACTATGGAGGCGTTGTCGGGAAAATCAAGGTTCCCCAAATAGGTCTTTATGATGGGACCTCGGATCCCGACGCTCACCTCGGTCAGTATACCTTGTGGATGGATCTCCACGGGGCCACCGACGCACTAAGATGCCACATGTTTTCCGTCACTTTAGGGCCTAGAGCTAAAAAATGGTATCATTCTTTGCCACGTCATTCAATCTGGAAATGGCAGCAGTTGAGGTCAGCGTTTCGATCTCACTTTATCGGACCTCAGGTAAGCCTAATTCCAAAGGAATCTATCGTCATATTGTCCAGAAGGACGATGAGAGTGTCAAGGACTACATAGCCCGATTTAACCAACGCATACCGAACATGGAACAATGTCATCCGTAAACTTTGTTGGTCGCAGCTATTGCTGGTCTAAAACCAAATTCTTTATTCTGGTGAACACTTTGCCAAAACAAGCCTAACTCGTTCCAAGAATTCCTAGCTAGAGCTCAACAACACATCATACCCGAGGAATCGATGTCGGTTCTCAACTTTGATTTCTCTCCGAAAGAGTCGAAACCAGGACAAGAAGGAAAATATAAGTTCGGAAGATTGGCAGTAAATCGACAAAGCTTCATCTGATATCAGGTTCAGATGTCACAAAAATATTTAAGGGAAGTTTGTCTTAAATTACTTGGATTAGTTTTTATTAATCCGTTTATTGGTTATTACTTATACACGCTTTATTATCGCAGGTCTAATGAAATGGGATCGTGATGCACATTCCATCTATGACTACTTACCAATATGCGCGAGATCAGATCAAGCAATCTGAGCTTTCCATAATATGACTTGACTTGGTTGGAAAGCTAGAGGAAGAACTTACCATATGAAGGATGATGATAAAAGTACGACGAGAACACATTGAGGATTACTTTTTTTCGATAATTTCTTTTTCTTGGAGAGATAGTTATGAGTATCGAGACTCTTGGATTTTTGTTGAGTGATTTTTGTAAATGAGGGTGATTATTGTTGAGAGAAAAATACAGCGTGTTCGAAGGTTCATTCTATTTTTAGTTTGAGGGATTCAAACGTGAAAAACCACAAGGGATTTGTGGTCAGATAAGTAGTAGTGCAATTTATTGTTCAAGTAGAGTGTAGAGGGAGTCTATACTGTAAAGCCTTGAAGAATGAGTGAGTTGATTGCATTAATGAAAGAGATCCGAAGGGAGAGTGGGACGCTCTCCTGAAGGTTCAAATTTGTTTATACTACTTCCGCAATTCATTTGAATCTTCATTTTACTCTATTTTGCTTAATCGTCTCTGAATACTTGGGATACAAGTATCAAACTTCAATTGGCACTAGAGCGGGTTTTCGTATACTTTACGAAATATCTAAGGACGTGTGGATTGGGCAACCATGAATCTGGAAAGTGGATCGATGTCTAGGCCTCCGCAATTGGATGGATCAAATTATTCCTACTGGAAATCAAATTATTCCTACTGGGAAAAGGTGCTTGGGAAAGTGTTGAAAATAGCTGGGAACATCCAGTCACGGCGGCCGCCCCAGACCAAGGGAAAGAATCTTCATCAGCTACTGTACCTAAACCTAAAGACATATGACTGACGCTAAAAAACTGCAAGAAGAAGCGAACCATCGAGCCCTCTAGCAGTCGATCAGACTAGACACAAGATGATAGTACAATGCAAGACAACGAAAGATGCTTGGCGGATTCTACAACGTCAGTTTGAAAGTTCAACGACAGTGAAAGCATCGAGACTTCAACGTGTAACCCTTGAATTTGATGAAATCAGAATGAAGGATGAAGAAACGATCGATATGTACTATGCCAGATTTTGTGATCTGGTAAATCAAAGTGGAATGCTAGGAGAAGAGATCTCTGAAAATCGTCAAGTGCAAAAGATTATGCGGACTGTTGCGCCTAGATATAGAGAGAAGATTACGGCTCTTGAGATCTTGCAAAGAATTGCGCCTCTAGATGTGGATAAACTTCTTATAATATATAGATATAAATATATATAGGGTTGGGTTCAAGTGAGAAAGATATTCAGTAAAATAAATAAGAATACACCGTAGCCGATCTAATTGCTAAAAAAACCAAAATTATACCTTCATTAAGGGTAATGTGGACATTCATAAAAAATCCACATTATTGGACCTAGGTTTTGCCAGCTAATTAATTAACGTGACTATTTCTCTATGTCTCTCTCTCTCTCTCTCGCTCTCTCTCACACACACACACACATACACACACAAACACACCATCACATACACATATCTCCACTTGGCCTGCGGAAAAATTCCTGCCACCGACGTAGTCACGCACCGCAGTCGCCGGAGAACCCTACCATCACCATCTTACTCTACTCTCTCTCTCTCTCCCGCACAAACCCAGCCCCGTCACCGCCCTTCTACAGGCTGCCGCGGTTCGTCTCTTGTCAAGCCGACCCGTCCGATAGCAACCGCTACCGGTGCGCACCACCTGACAACGGCGAACGGGATAACTGTCGGCTTCCAGGCGCATTCTGACCTACAGGAACAGTCAACTACCGAGATCCGCAGCCTCTTGCAGACAAAAACCACCGGCCACCACTGTCGAGACCTGCCATCAGACGCCGCGGGAGTGGTCGAGTTCTAGAAGTTGAACAGACATATTTATGCTATTCAGATATAAAATTAATGTTCTGAATTTTATGGGCATGAAGTTGAGAATTAGATAAGCTCAAATTACTCCATTGCAATTTATGAAATTTAAATATATTTAAATTTAACCTATGTGCCAAATCTGTAATTTGTAAAAAATATATAAAAATATTGTTTTTTATATGTACTTTTATACATATGTTTATTATGCATATTCAACAAAAAAATAATATAGAAATATTACATAAACTTATTAACATAATTAATATGTTTTTTTATATTATAAATAATAATTAATATATTTTTATAATATAAATAATAAATTAGTTTGATTATTTTGGTTAATTTGATTAACCAACGAAATAACTCAATTATTTCGGTTCAATTTCAGGTTGAATTTGCAAAATAATAATAATAATAATAATAATAATAATAATAATAATAATAATAATAATACATTTATAAAATAATAAACAATAATTTAGTTCAACTATTTAGGTTAATTTGATGTACAATTATATCTACTAAAATATAATATTACAAAACACATAATTTATATGTGATTTGTTGTAGTTATTTTTACCGGAGTTAAATCGAAAGATTCGATCCCCGGGTCGTATCTCAAGGAAGATTAGCGGGATTATCTTGTACGTATATTCAATCACAAAAAGAGAAATTCAATCCTAACACTCTAATTCAATCGGTATGGTTTCAATTATAAACTACGAATTCTGAAAATAAGCAAAGCACACTTTAAATTCACGAAATTCAGATAATGGTTGGAGAGTTAGGGAATCGGAGATATTCGTTTATGGTTCTCACGCAATCAATGAGCACACAGTTGCTCGGTCAAGGAATCAAATATCCTACTTGCTTAGAGGTTCATTCTCTATAACATCTTGTAACAAGAGAGCAAACGTGAACAAATCGATAATTGACACACTTAACACATAGGCAATACATTAACGAACATGCCTAATCCAAACGAGCCAAGATCAATCAATTTCTCCCCTTCCGGTTCTACAAATCAATTAATTAGATTAAGATATTGATCAAGCATCTAACCCTACAATGAGCACAACTCGAATAGATTGAACAACAAACAACATATTAAGCCCAATCGAACCAAAACAAATATCTTCTTCCCTAACAAAATGGTTTAGCTACTCATATTGATATCAACCAGAACAAAGGATTCAAAATCATAATTCACATCCATAATAAAATGAAAGTAACTTATGAATAATCCAAGTCGAGAAATAAAATCAAACACAAGTCGAATCACGTTCGTTTCGGAGTATCACAATCTCCAAAAGATGAATCCAAGCAAAACCAAGAAAATCCAAGTGAAAAAATGAAGAAAAAATGTTTTCTACGTGATAAAGTATGAAAAACCCAGTCTCAGAACAACGAATAATCCCCCCAATGAAGTCTGAAAAGTCCTCCTTAAAACCCCTTGGCCCGATCCTATTTAAACGCGTACAGTTTCATGTTTCAAAAAAATCCAGTGCCGCGGCGCGGCAGATGGCTCCACCGAGGCGCGAAAGCTAAGGCACGGCGTGGCAGACAAGCTCACCACGGCGCAAAGAAGATGGCACGGCGCGGCAGGCACATTCACCGCGGCGTGGCAACGTCGCAGCTCGGGACGGGTTGGTGCTTAATTCGCAGTCCAGGTCATGGCACCTTCGCGGCGCGGGGCAGGGACACGGCGCGGTGCGGTATTTTGAAGAAGTGATACTCGGGTTGATTCGTCTTGAAAGCCGGGACGTGCGCTGCTCGGTTATATGACTAGCTCCAAACGTGATGAAAAACCTGAACCTACACACCACCAAAACGAAAGAAAAAAAACAAACGAAAACAGACAAAAGAGCAGAAAATATCGAAAACGAGAAATAAACGGCAAACACGCCAAACGAACGAATGGTGGACCAAAAGAACCAAAAGATTCCTAAAAACGGGGGGTAAAAACTAACAAATAAACAAAGAAAAAGATAACAAAAATAGGAAAAACAACTCCCCCACACTAAGACCTTTGTTCGTCCCGAACAAAAAAAAAGAAAAGAAAAACACGCAAACGAGCAAGTACAATGGCTTCAAAACAAGAAAAGTCTCAAATTGATCAACTAAGTTGGAAAGAATTCCGATGACCACAAGAACACACCTCGACAATTAACTCAGTCACTTGACAACACAGACTCTCGAATACGGAGATATGATATATGTGCCTCACTCAGTTTTCTTTCACAATAAAAAGACAGGTACACTCAAATTGGTCGTCAGTCAAATCAATCATAAATTTGCCCATCGTCTATCCTTTACTCTAAATAACCAAATTCATGAAACAATGAATCAAGAGAACTTTAAGGGATGTAATGTAGGCTCTTTGGATCAGGCAGGATAAATATAGGCTAAGTGGCTCAATATAGATCAACTCAACTCATCACATAACCCTAATCATGAATTCTTCCGGTTATCAACACCAACCGGTTCCTCCCACTAACTCCTATTATTCTCTCTCTTTTTTTTAAAAAAAAAAAAATAAGAACCTTGTGGACATAATATATAATCAATTCGGTCCCCTTTTTTTTCTTTTTTTTTTCTTTTTTCTTTTTTTTAGAACCTTTTGGATATTTCATATGATCCATTCGGTTTCTCTTTTATTTTTTTTTATTTTTTTTTAAATAGGTATCAAATGAAAATATTCACAACTTCACTCAACCGTCATCTCCCATTCTCAACCTACAATGCTATCGTCACGAGGTTATCAATAAAAATTGAATAAGGCTCAAAGGGGTGACTAGTGAATAATATTATTAGAAAAAGAAAAGTGAAAGAATATATAAGGAATGCCTCAATCATGTTCACGATCACAAATCCGATCAATTTATTTCAAAGTAGACTCAAGGCAAATTCTAATTGACAAGTACTCCGACCAATGTCTCACAAGAACGAATGTGGCTCAAATCTCACAAGGTATATATGTATAAGCGTTAATCAAAACAACCAAGCCACAGCAAAATATGCCACTCGAGATCATCATCACATCTTTCCAACGTCATCAAACAATTATTAACCAATCTTGAATTTCACCAATGTCCAAACTCGAAAAGCAAATAAACTAAAAACTAGACTGGTCCACCAATAAGGACTCGAAAGACAAATAAACCTAGAACTAAACAAGTCAACCATGTAGCCACATATACATGCAAAAACTCCCCCACACTTAAAATCAGACAATGTCCCCATTGTCGATTCTCAGTGAAGGAGAGTGGAACCACACAATTAACCGACTCAAAATAAATAAGCGGTACAAAACAAAAGAGAAAGAGAAAGAAAATGTACAAAGCACAGTGACAAGTCACTGTGCGTCCGACGGTGGCGGCTGAGGTAAAGAAGGTTGGTCGGAACCCGAGCTCCATCGGGTGTCCCACTGCTGAAACTGGTCATTCCACTGGTTCCATTGGGTATACTGCTGCTCTTCCAAATGGTCCCAACGGGCCTCGTGCTTTGCATGCGTTTCTTCCCATTGGTCCCAACGTTCGTCATTTTTGGTAATGTAGGCTTTCACCCGAGCAGGTACTCCTCCTGTCGAGTCTGATACTCATCTTGTCGCTTCTGATACTCTACGAACCACTTAGGCACCTGCTCGGATGGGGCGTCGCGGATGCCATGATGGGACTGAAGGATTTGATAATCCATGTGGGCGGGCTCTTCCTCGTCTCCTGGAGCACCCTCGATCGGTTCGGCAGTCTCGTTGGCCACTTGTTGAGAAGGGCCTCCTGTGGCTTGCTTCGACAAAGCTGCTTCAGCTGCTACTCGCTCTATCTCCTTCTCGTAAGCCTTGTAGCATTTTCGTTCGGTATAGGGATGGAACTTGAAATGCCTGTCCAGAAAACCCCCATCAGACCGATGCCCTCCTCAACAACTGATGGAATTTTGAAGTATTTGGCAATATCCGTCACCACACGACCAAAGGTAGGGTAGCTCACTATTTTCCGGCGTATGTAGACAAGAGCTTGCTTGAGGAAATTGAGAAGGCACACCGGTTTCTTTTCGCGCATAGCCCACAGAACGAACACCTCTTGTTCACTCACATTGTTCGCCTCTTTTTTTCCGAAGATGTGGTAGGAGAGGAACTTATGCACGACCGCAATGGGAAGCTCCTTGATTAGCCCCGCCGATGGCCCGACTTTATTGAAAGACTTGCATGGTGAGAAGGAGGCCCAATGTCTGTCAGTCTGGAAATCTCCCGATTTCTTGCGAGCACCCGTTGTTTTCAAACCGTAAATATCACAGAGAACTCTATCCGTAATTTTGACCTCCTTCCCGTCCAAGCGACAAGTGAGGTAGTTTCCGTTATCGTGCATCTAAATTGTGCTAAGACATTCCACGGTGAGTGTCCGGAAGGCAGTGAAAACATCACGGTTTGCGTACTTCTCCAAGTTAAGGACTTTCAAATAACTCCGGACTTGTTCGTCGATACGAAGAGCTTTCATCGTCGCACACTCGATAGCTCGGGGATGAGGCATAGTTCGGGAGATAAGTTGCTTGTACGCAGTCACCTCTGAGTCATTAAACACCGAAAACGGAATGCCATGGGTACGAGCCAAACGAGTAGTTTATTCCGCCGAATCGGAATCCGAGTGATGTGAGTTGTCCGATGACTCGGGTGGAGCTACGATGATGGCCTTCCCTTTGTCCTTGCTCGTGGAAGGAGCCGTAGTTGCATTCCTTGTTTTGACCATAATGGATACAAAGAGGCGAATATGAACCGAATAGCCTTTTTAGCCGGTTGGGACAAATGATCGAACACTCGGTGGGCGAGAATGGAACTTGAGAAGCTTTGAAAAGTTTGAGCCAATGATGTCGCCACCAAGAAACCAATCAAGGATTGAGATAGCCTTGTACCTTTAAGCTTCGAGCGGTCAGAGGTGATGAGTTTGCCGGAAAAATTTATAAGAGAATTTTGAGCCTTTGACACGGTAAAGGAGAGCCCGACAGAGTTCGGTCGGAGGGGAGGAGCTGGCTGTTGGTGGTGATTCGCCGGAATGACGAGGTAGGCCGGAACACGAGTGATGACCTGAGCGCTGGTGATGATCGGAGGAGTGGTTCGAAATTTTCGAGTTTCTCGTCACGAGAAAAAGGGGTTGCCTGAGATAGCTTGGCCGGAGAAAGTGAGTTCGCCGGTGCTGGAGGGTCGCCGGAGATGGGTTGGTTGGTGGTCGCGTGGTCGGAAGTGGTCGACAAACCGTTGGTCGGAGATGATGGCGTAGGAGAAGTTGGGGTTAGGGTTCAATCGTGAGTCTTTGAGAGATGAGAAACATTTGAGTTCGACCCCAATAATTATACTAGGAGTTTTCCGCGGCACGACGTCTGCCACGGCGCGACGCCATTCAACAGCCCACAGCCGCAGTTCGGGTCGTGGCACCCTCGCGGCGCGGTGAGGCAATGTGCCGCGGTGCGGTATATGCCGCGGCGTGACGCGATTCAACGTACAAATCCGCAGTTCAAGTCGTGGTGGTCCCGCAGTGTGGTGAACCTTCTGCCGCGGCGCGGAGCTTGCCGCGGCGCGATACCTAGAAAAAAAAAATCAGCCGATTGATATTTTTTTTTAATAGAAATATAAATAAATATATATACAAAAAGTACAAATAATTGCTCGGTTTTAAGCCGGGAGCTCGGCACAATTCCGAATCAAGGATACGGGTCGTTGAGACTGATAGTCTCGACATGAAGCTTCCCGAATTCTCCATCAAAATAGGGCTTTACCCTCTGCCCGTTGACCACAAACAATTCACCATTCGCCGGATTTCGAAGTCGGACAGCTCCGAAAGATAATACCTCATCGATAAGGTACGGTGCGCTCCACTGGGATTTGAGCTTTCCCGGGAAAAGACGAAGACGGGGTTGAATAAAAGGACTTTCATACCGGGCACTAGGTTCTTCCGGACAATGGTCGAGTCGTGAAGCTTCTTGACCTTGTTTTTGTAAATTTTGGAGTTCTCGTAAGCCACGTTCCTCAACTCTTCAAGTTCGGAAAGTTTCCACATCTGCTCTCGCCCGGCTGCATCAAGATCAAAATTAATCTGTTTTATCGCCCAAAATGCCTTATGCTCGATCTCGACTGGAAGGTGACACGCCTTCCCGTAGATGAGCCGGAATGGGCTCATCCCCAAGACTCCCTTGTAAGCTGTGCGTTGGGCCCAGAGAGCATCATCGAGCCTACTCGACCAATCCTTTCTGGATGAGTTCACCGTCTTCTCAAGGATGGACTTGATTTGCTTGTTGCTCGTCTCTGCTTGGCCCGACGTTTGTGGATGGTAAGGGGCGGCCACCTTGTGTGAAATTCCGTATTTCTTCATTAGTTTCTTAAAAAACTTATTGCAAAAGTGTTTGCCTCCATCGCTCACTATGGCCCGTGGAAAACCAAACCTGCTCAAGACATGACCCTGGAAAAACTTAATGACTACTTTAGCATCACATGTCCTTGTGGGGATAGCCTCAACCCACTTGGATACGTAATCTACGGCAAGAAGAATGTACTCAAAGCCAAAAGATTTGGGAAACGGTCCCATGAAATCAATGACCCACACATCAAAGATTTCCACCTGGACATTATTTACAAGGGGCATCTTGTTTCTTGGGCCAATATTCCCAATTCTTTGACAATGGTCACAAGATTTGCAAAAAAACATAAGCATCGTTAAAGAGAGTGGGCCAGAATAAACCTGATTGGAGGACTTTAAGGGCGGTCTTTCGACCTCCGAAATGTCCCCCACATTGAAGCTCGTGGCAAAAGGCAAGGACATTCGTTTGTTCTTCTTCGGGCACACACCTCCGAAGAATCCCGTCCTTTCCCTACTTGAAAAGGAGGGGGTCATCCCAAAAGTAACTCCTGCACATCAATACAAAACACTTCCTCTCTTGGGGAAGAGAGGTTAGACAACAAGACTCCATCTGACAAATAATTCACTATGTCTGCATACCAAGGAACACTAGTCACTTCACTCACATGCTCATAGGGAAAACTATCATTTATATCAACATGCTCATGCAAAGTGAGTGAATGATCAGATGGAACAATGCGAGACAAGTGATCAGCAACAACATTTTCACAACCTTTCCTATTGCGAATTTCTACATCAAACTCTTGTAACAATAAAATCCACCGAATGAGTCTAGGTTTCGATTGAGTCTTACTCAAGAGATACCTAAGAGCCGCATGATCAGAATGAACAATCACTTTAGATCCTAGGATGTAAGATCTAAACTTTTCTAGAGAAAAAATAACAGCCAAAAGCTCTTTTTCAGTGGTGGTATAGTTCAATTGGGGGCCATTAAGAGTCAAACTAGCATAATAAATTACACGAAGTAACTTATCAACTCGTTGACCCAAGACGGCCCCAACAGCAAGGTTCGAAGCATCACACATAATCTCAAAAGGCAACGACCAATCAAGAGCAATAACAATAGGTGCAATCACAAGCTTATTTTTCAACTTATCAAAGGCATCTACACATGCATCATCAAACACAAAAGCACATCATTAGCAAGCAAGTGACACAAAGGCTGGCTTATTTTTGAAAAATCTTTAATGAACCTCCTATAGAAACCAGCATGACCCAATCACGGGTGGAGGGAGTTTTTCAATAACATCAATCTTTGCTTTATCGACCTCAATACCACAATTAGACACCACATGGCCTAAAACAACTCCACTAGTCACCATAAAATGACTTTTCTCCCAACTCAAGGTCAAATTAGATTCAATACATCTTTCAAGCACACGAGATAAATTATGGAGACAATCAAAAAATAAAGTGCCAAAAATAGAGAAGTCATCTATAAATACCTATAGGCAGTCCTCGAGCATATCTGAGAAGATGGAGAACATGCACCTTTGGAAGGTCCCAGGTGCATTGCATAAGCCGAAAGGCATCCGTCTGAAGGCAAATGTGCCGAATGGGCAAGTGAAGGTGGTCTTCGGTTGGTCCTCGGGTTCTATGGCTACTTGGTAGTAGCCGGAAAGTCCATCCAGGAAGCAGTAAAACTGATGGCCCGAGAGACGGTCAAGAATCTGATCGATGAACGGCAACGGAAAATTGTCTTTCTTTGTCACGACATTGAGGCATCGATAGTCTATGCATATCCTCCACCCAGTAGTGATGCGGGTGGGGACCATCTCCTTCTTTTCATTCTCTATGACCATGATACCCCCCTTCTTGGGCACTACATGGATCTGGCTGACCCACTCGCTGTCTGCCACTCGATAAATGAGCCCTTCTAAATAGAACTTTAGCACCTCATGCTTCACTACTTCCATCATATTCGGGTTGAGCCGCCGCTGGCTATTCCGAAATGGCTTGGCACCTTCTTCTAAGATGATCCGGTGCATGCATGTGGAGGGGCTGATGCCTTTTATGTCTCCGAGGCTCCACCCAATGGCCTTCTGATTCTTTTTGAGCACCTCAATTAGCTCATTCTCCTCGTCCCGGTTAAGCTCAGCAAAGATGATGACCGGCTTTTGCTTCTCGCCATCAAGGAAGACGTACTTGAGATGGCGGGGTAATTCTTTAAGCTCTAATACGGGTGGAGTAGGTGCGTGTGATTCATCAGCTGCGAAAAGCTCAATGATTGGCTCTTTTTCATCGTTGAGGTCGGGCATTGACCTCTCCTCCAAGTCTCGTACAGTCATCTCTTCCATGAACGGGTCACTCACATCAACAAAGGCACACTCCTCCACAAAGTTCACCGAGGAGGAGGATATGGCTTCTCGAACAGAGATGGATACTGACTCGCCCAGGATCGTAATATTCAATGTCCCGTTCTTGACATCAATTAGGGTGCTGGTGGTGGCCATAAACGGTTTGCCAAGAAGGATTGTGTGATCCTTCCCGTTCTCCTGCACGTCCCCCACATCTAGAACTACGAAGTCCACCGGGACGATAAGTTTCCCAACACGAACAAGGACATCTTCGATTACCCCTCTGGGGTATCTAATGGAACGGTCTGCGAGCGGAAGGCACATGCGGGTTGGTCTCAAGTCTCCTTGGCCGAGCCGCTGAAAGATAGAGAAGGGCATAAGGTTGATTCCTGCTCCAAGGTCTAGCATTCCCGAATCCTCCTTTCCGTTTCCGAGAGCTATCTGAATCACGAAGTCCCCAGGGTCTCGTTCTTTCTTCGGGAGATCATGCTGCATAGCACTTGCAGCCTCGTAGACCACTACCTTCTCCCTATCTCCAAATTTCCTCTTCTTCGTCACTAGGTCCTTGAAGAACTTCACGTACGAGGGCATATTCTTGATCACGTCTAGGAGTGGCAGGTTGACGTTGACCTTCGAGAGCATGTTGTATAGGTCTCGGAATTGCTGCTTCTGCTTCTCATCTGGTAGTCGGCTCGGGAAAGGTATGCTTGGTTTGAAAGGGTTTGGTGACTTGTGTAACATTGGGCCGTCTGTCTGCGTCCTTGGCCCAGCTTCTGTATTCTTCTTCGGGCTCTCCTCTACTCCCTTGGGCTGGTCGGTTGGTGTAAGGTCATCAGGCTCAGGCATTTTCACGTGGTTGTCTACCTTCTTCCCACTTCTCAAAACTGTAATCACCTTGGCTTCTTTAGGCTGGCTGGGCAACTTTCCCTTGTCTGAATCGCCTTCCATGTTCCCCACTCTCGTAGCAAGTTGGCCCAACTGTGTCTCCAGGCGTTTGATGGATGCATCGGTGTTCAAGCCCCTTTGCTCACTGTTGGCCATAAACTGGAGAATCTTGTCTAGTTTGTCGTCTTGGTTTGATGAGCTAGAGTCGGCCCCTTGTGCTTGTACTCCTCCCATCGGACCCCTCTGTTGCTGTTGTTGCTACTGTTGAGAATAGTTTGGCCTCATCTGCTGTTGGGGAATGAAGGTGGGTCGGGGCTGTTGCTACATGAAGTTCTGTCGAGGAGGCTGCAGGATGTTGTTGTTGTTAGACCACGAGAGATTTGGGTGATTTCTCCACTCTGGGTTGTATGTGTTTGAGTACGGGTCGTTGGCCGGTCGGTAGTCTGGTAGCCTTGAAGAGCATTAACATCCTCATATTGTTCACCAAAGTCTTGATCGAATGCCGAGGGGCATACCTCCGATCTGTGTCCTTGGACTCCACAGGCACCACATGCATCAACGATCATTGTCTGCATTGGTTGGCCTCCCCTTGCATTCAGTAGCCGCATCTTCTCCGTGAGCTCGGCTATCTGATGGGCCATAATGTCTCGCCAGAAGATACTTCGTGGACCCCGGTCCTCTTTCCTCGACTGCTCTTTTGAGACGAGTTAGAGTTCATCGCCTAAAAAATATCATTCATCTCCTCGGCCGTCTTTGACAAAATATCTCCGCCGGCCGCATTGTCCACTATATACTGGAGATTCTGGTGGAGAGAGTCATAGAAGCTGTTCATCAATAAGGCAGGTGGGAAGTTATGGTGTGGGCACTGCCTCTGGAGGTCTTTGAAGCGCTCCCATGCCTCATGAAGCGGCTCGTTTGGTTGTTGGGCAAAGGAAACGATTTGAGACCGGAACTCCTGCGTCTTCTGGTGAGAGTAGTATTTCCCGATAAACTTGGTGTACACTTGCTCCCAAGTGGTGAGGGAGTCGGGAGCAAGTGTCATGAACCAAGCCTTGGCCCGGTCCTTGAGTGTTTCGGGAAAACACCTCATCTTTAGCTGGTCCTCGTTCATGTTATGGAGAGGAAAGGTCTGGAGGACATTATAGAACTCCCCGATGAAATGGAGAGGGTCTTCATGAGGTAAGCGATGAAATGAAGGTAGCTGGTTGTAGTGGATCGGTTTAAGCTCGTAATTCCGGGCTGCTGGCCCCAACCGGATGCATGAAATAACTGGCCCGATTATTGGTTGAGCCAAATCCCGAAGGAGATGATGAGGTGGGTTATTCACTTCCTCATCACCGTTGTATGCCATGTCTCCTTGGCTATCTGAGTCTCGGTTGGCTGAGTCTGAAGATTCAGGGGCAAGGTTAGCCAACAAATCTTGTAGATCCCTCTGGATTGATTCGTTGTTTGGGATGATTACAAGACCACTCCTGGTACGCATAAACAAAAACAACAAAACGTCACGGGCACCAGATAGATAAGAGGGAGACTAGAAAAGCGAAACAAGAAAACACTAAGCCTAAACAAGAAAATGAAACGAAAAGAAACACAAAAAACAAGGAATCACAAAAATAAGAGAAACACTGACAACAAAATGAATAGGTGCACAAAATAAGTCCTAAACCTTCCCCAGCAACGGCACCATTTTGTTGTAGTTATTTTTACCGGAGTTAAATCGAAAGATTCGATCCCCAGGTCGTATCTCAAGGAAGATAAATCGAAACATGTTGATATATAAGCATACTAACGTACCAAAATTCTGGTGTTGTTTTATATATCAATACATTGTACTTTATATGACAATATATTGCATTTTATAACAAAACATGTTGCACATTATAAAATGACGCGTTGTACATAAAAAAATTTAAAAATATATTGGTTTGATTATCTGTTTGTATTTTAAAAAATTTTGGTATCTCAGGTCGTTGTCAGCTTTATTGTTTAAAATGCGCAAAACATACACAAAAATAAAAAACATACACTAACACACATTTACACACCCCGATCGGGCACACACACATATACACACATTCATGCCGGCCCGCCTCGACGTCCACCCAGCTCTGCCCGACCGCCACTCGGCTCCACCCCACAGTCACAGTTCGACGTCATCCCATGCCGGATTTCAGCGGCCGCATGTATTCACTTAAATTTCGTGTTAGTGCACAGCCGCCCGAGAAGAACATCATCTTGCCACGTCGGTCGACCTCCATCTCGTGTTAGCCGCAGTCTCCTCCGCCGTGTCGTAGCGACGTCGAGCATCACATGAAAAATATCATCCGATTCCTCCGCCGTCGCCCATTCTTCGTCGGCTGTCACGATTCGCCTCCGGCGACCTTCCATTGGATTTCTGTTGCAGATGCCGGCGCCAATGTCTGCCTCTCCAGGCCTGCCGCAACCACCGCCGCGTCTTCCTTCATCTACCCGACCTCCGCGGCCAAGCTACTCCGCCTCTTGACAATGTCCGGCGACACAAGAGGAGCGAATTTGGGAGTGGGCAAGAAACTGATTACAGAAATTAGGGCTACGAGGGGTGGGTTTTTTTTTTGTGAACTCCAAGGGACCTAGTTGTAAACTAGGAAGTCATAACTATATTTCAATTAAGTCCATGGGCTTAATTTGTAATTTATAGAAAATATATATTTTTTTTTTTTTCGAAACGATAGAAGCGATATATATATAACTCAAACCACGAACAATGTCCGAATACAACACAATATCCAATTAGCCGAAATACAAGAATGAGAGGACACGTTAAGATAACGGCCTAGAGCTCAAATAGAACAACCAAACTAAAACAAAGAGAGAAAACTTACCACTGCAAAAATTCCTAGCAAGTACACCCACTTCATAACCGAAAAAACAACCAAAACAAGAAACCAAAAAAAGAAAAAAAGAAGGAAATCAAAAGCTACAGCCCTTCAGTGAACAGAATTCAAGCCATTCCTTGTGAGCAGCCTTGATCACAATAGGAATAGGCATGATGTGCTTCTCGAATATCCACAGGTTTCTCGACCTCCAGAGCCACCAAATGAGATAGGTTGTGAGTTGAATTCTATCCTCGGCCACTGGAGTCTTATCCAACGTACAAAGTATCCAAAGTACAAAGTTGCCACCACCAAGACCTGAAAGTACAGTTTTGCATATCAGCTTCATCCCACTGTAAAGGACACATCTGCCACAGTAACTGAGCTCTTGGACAGCAGAAGAGCACATGTTCAATTGTTTCAGGAGCTTCCCCACAGCAGGGGCATAGTGCATCCACAACAACTCCTCTTTTCAGCAGCAAAGTTCTGACAGGTAAGGAACCAGAGTAGCACTTCCAGAGGAAATGCTTGATAGTTCCCTTTATCTTTAGACCCCAGCTTCTCTGTCTTGCTTTGCTACCAACAAATTGATGAGTACTGGGACCAGGGATGTCTAAGTGTTGGATTTTTTGCTTGATGAGGTAAGAGTAGGTTGAAGACACAGAAAACTGTCCTTTGGAATCAAAGCTCCAATAATATCTGTCCTGCTGCCTTGGATTAAGGGTCTTGATTTTGAGAATGGCTTGACTCTCTTCTTCATTAAAAAGTTGTTTTACCAGCCAGGAATTCCAGTTGAGTCCTCCATCCAGCAGTAGTTCCTTGACCCAAGTGATGTGCCCTCTAACAATGTTTAGAAGGTTAGGTCTGTGGGGAGGCATTCCAGGTATCCAGTTGATGTCCTCAATCCTTGTATTTTCCCCACTTCTAATTTTTGTTCTCAATCCTTGTGCAAGTATAGGAAGGCAGTCCAACCAAGTGTGCCATAACCAAGAGCCATTCTGAGTTTTAGTCACATCAAAGATAGAGCAGTTGGGGAAATACCTGTCTTTCAATACTCTGGACACAAGAAGATCTGGCTCAGTGATCACTCTCCAAAGTTGCTTACAGATCAGGGCCATATTGAAGAGCCTCACTTCTTTAAACCCAAAACCTCCTTCTTCCTTAGGTAATGTCAAGAATTTCCATGCCTTCCAATGGATCCCTCTCTCCTGTGTGTCAGCTTTACCCCACCAAAACTGAGTAGTAATACTGGAAATGGCTTTGTATATAGAAGCTGGTAGTTTGAAGCAGGACATAGTAAAGACAGGCAAGGCATCAATAACAGCTTTGATGAGTGTTTCTTTACCTGCAGTGGATAGCAAATTGTTTTTCCAGCTTCCAATTCTTGAACAGTTTGAAGGACAAAGGAAAATGTCTCTTTTTTGGATTTGCCAATTCCAAGAGGGAGCCCCAGGTACCTTGTTGAAGTGTGGATTTGAATACCATTCAGGGTAGAGCAGATTTGAGCTTTCAGAGATGTGGTGGTGTTGCTACTAAAAAAGATGGATGACTTGGGAAGGTTAACTCTCTGACCAGTAAAAAGCCTGTATCTTTCCAGTATATTTATCAACACTTGTGCTTGATTGATCTCAGCCTTACAGAAAAATATGGCATCATCTGCAAAAAGCAAGTGTGAAAGAGCAGGCTTTCATTAAACCCACTACACCCTATCAAAGGCTTTCATTAAATCAAGCTTCAGAGCCATAAAGTAGTTTTTTCCTGATCTATGCCTGTTAAGAACATGGAATGCTTCTTGTGCCAAGATGACATTGTCTAATAATTGTCTGCCCTGGATGAAGGCAGATTGACAGGTACTAATACAAGATTCTAAACACTTCTTCAATCTCAAGGCCAACAATTTAGACAGGATCTTATAAACCACACTACACAAAGAAATGGGTCTGTATTGAGTTAAAGAGTCAGGATTATGGCATTTGGGAATTAGAGTCACCAGAGTATGGTTCCAATATTGCAGAAGTAACCCAGAGTCAAAAAAGCTTTGAATAGCAGAAATTAAATCAGCATGGATAATTTGCTAGAAGTGCTGGTAAAAAAAAGGAGTCATACCCTCTTCTCCTGGGGATTTGTGTGGTTGAAGGCTGAAGAGCGCAGCTTTAATCTCGTCAGCTTCAATAGGATTAAGGAGGGACAGATTCATATCCTCAGTGATAGTTTTGGGAATGAGGTGCAGCATGGATTCTCCCCCCCAAGAACCCTCAGTTGTGAAGAGGTCTGAATAGTAGCTGGAGATGTGCTGTTCAACCTCAGACTGGGATTGGTAGAGATTGTCCCTATCATCAATGAGCCTGGTGATTGCATTTTTCCTCCTCCTATGAAGAATGAAGGCATGGAAGAATTTGGAATTAGTGTCTCCTTCTCTAAGCCAGTTGAGCCTGGCTTTTTGCTGCCAATATTTCTCCTCAACAGTATGAGCTTGCTCCAGTTCTTTGTGCACAGTTGACCAAGTATCCCAGTTGGCACTAATACCAGCAGCTCTCAACTCCTCCAGTTGCTTTGACAAAGATTCAATTTTTGCGTGATTCTGAGATTTGAACTTGGAGTTCCATTGTAATAATGCCAGACTGGTTGATTTCACCTTCTCCTTTAATTTGAAGAAAGGAGTGCCCAATTGAGGTTGAGACCAGGCATTCTGAACCACTTCAATAACATCCTCCCTTTCAATCCATCTTCTGTCAAAGACAAATCTTCTTTTCAGTTTGGCAGGTTTTGCCTCAGGCTTGAGAAGGATAAGAGAATGATCTGAAGCACTCCTGGCAATATTCAAGACCGAAGCATTGGGGTAGGTGTTGAACCACTCATAAGAAGCAAAGGCTTTATCAAGCTTTTCTTCAACAAAACCCTCAGCATCCCTGTTGTTGGCCCAAGTGTATTGGTGACCTATCATACAAACCTCATCCATTTCCATATTCTGAATGAAAGAGTTAAAAGGGGCAAAACTAAGCTCATTTCTGATTCTACCACCCTTCTTCTCTTCCATTGAACTTAGGTCATTCCAATCACCAATCAAGAACCAGGTGTCACCCCATGAGAGCATATCTACTTCCAGGGTTCTCCATTGCTCTGTTCTAACTACTCTGTCAGTGCTCATGTAGATGAAGATACCCCAGCCTTTATCCTCATTATCAATCTTAAAGTTAACAGCAATGTAGAAGTCAGTGGAAATCAGATGGATGATCTCCACTTCAGGATTCCAAAAAACAACTAATCCTCCACTTAGCCCTCTTGGATCAACAATGGCCAGCCTATCATCAAACCCCAATTTCCTGCTAATAGACCTAATGTAAGTACTGGATTTTTTTGTTTCAGAGAGAAAGAAGAAGCTTGGGTGGTGAGACCTAAAAGTCTCTTTGATTTAGAAAATTGTAGAGGGCCCACCCAGCCCTCTACAATTCCACACCGTAGCTATCATTTATCAGTTGGGTGCCACTCGAGGCTGGCATCCCCCACCTTATCCAAAACCACTTTAATTTTTTTGGCTGAAGCAAGAACTAGCATCTTCCCTTCATCTTCCACTTGGTGATTGTCAATATCTGGTCTACCCCTCTTACTTCCTGGAGTTGCCTCTGCTGGGTTAAGAGGCTCTGAACTCCTCTGAAGTCGTCCCACGTTCTTGTCTGATCTCCTCCACTTTTTAGAAGTTGTCTGTGTTGATTTAGGGAGGCATTTGTCCTTATGGGGTATCTGACTGGAGGAAACACCTACTTCAATATCCATTAGCCTAGCCACATCAAGATCCTGGTTTATGATGGCTACAGATGGAAGATTGTGTGATGGTTGAGAAGAGTCCAGTACATCCTGGGCCGTTGGAACTTGAATAGGAATATGCTCCTTTAAAGAGTTAGAAGCTACCATCGCCGGGTTAGAGGGAGAAGATGGAGGAGAGTTCACAGGAGGATGTTCTTGAACTTGAACAATCTGCTTACCTCTTATCTGTTGGCTAGAGGAGCTTTGAGGGGGAGATTTATTACCAGTTGTGGGGGTATTACCAAATTGTTGAGAATGTCTGGAGTCAGAGTTACTAAAATCGTTCCAAACTTGCCCCTCTGTGGCTTTAATCCACTCCCCGTATTTGCCTTGTTTCAGGGATTTACTGCGGATATCTTCAAGTCTCTTGGAGCAGTTCCGGTCTAGGTGGCCAATAAAACCGCAATAAAAACATAAGTTAACCAGTTTCTCATATTTGAAGCATACACAAACAGCTTGATCACCAAGACGTATGTTGGCACATCTCGGCAGAGGTTCTTGCAAGTCGATGGTTACAAGCAATCTGATAAATCTGCCACCATGGTTACCAGAGCTAACTACCACCACATTTTGCACATCCTTGAAGACCTTACCAATCTTAAGTCCGACCTCTGCACTCAGCCAGTCAAGAGGAACGATCATTACCTGCACCCAAAGCGAGAGCTCCTGAAATCCCGGATGTTTGCTAGTAAGTCCTTTTTGCCATTCCTGAAGAATCAGGTATTGGTTTTCGAAACTCCAGTGAATCTCATCCGCCACACGCCGAAGATCATCCATGGATTGGAAAAAGAATTGGAAGAAGTTGCGTCCCAATTCCTTAACTTCCATTTGCTGTTGTAGTCTCCAGATGGAACTCATAGTACGTTTAATACCAATCCAGCTCGCAATGCGGTCTCCGATAACCTTGCCAAATAAACTCCGGTGGCATTCATCAGCACTAAATCGAATATCATCATCAGCAATGTCTATCATAGAACTCTCCTTCGCAGATAAAGAGAAGACTTTAAGCCGGTCCGCCAAATCCTCGTCTTGGCCAACACAATTAGTTTGAGACATTATGTCAAAGTAGGACGCAAAGGAAAACCTTTCATAAACCTATCCCAGAAGAGAGCATACAAGATGATCAACTGCAACAAAGATTGACAGAGGAATCTCACAATTGAGAGAAGAAAGAGGATGACGATCCCACTCGAGATAATCGCAGCCCTAGCTCCTAAACGAGAGAATCATACAGCCCGATATAAAATATATAAAAACTATTATTTTATATATATAACAACATATTTTTATACATATATATATCATATTTTTTTCCATCCAAAAATAATATAAAAATAAACAAATTATTGAAATATTAAATATATTTTTATAATATAAATAATAAATTATTTCACTTATTTAGGTTAACGCGATAAGAAGGAATCTTGTGATGACTCAGCAGCAAGGGGAGGCGAATTAAAACCGAAATATGTGGAACTTGAAGTATGCTGCAAGTGTGATGAGTCGTCTGTTGGGTTCGATAGTACCGTACGGGCTGTACGCAGCGGAATTTAAAATTTTTAAAGTAAGTATTTATCGTATAAATACAACACCCGTACATACTAATTGCAAATTAACTGATCGTCATCTTTAAAACATGCATCATATACAAATTTTGATTTGTTACTATAAAGTAAATACTAGTAAAANA